TGGCCCCCCGCGCGCCCGGCCCAGCCGCATCTCGCAGCGACCCAGTGGCATGCGCGCAGGGGCGCGTAGCAGCAGAGGCAGGGCACCGCCAGGGAGAGCGCGGCGAGCGCGGCCCAGCGCGCGGCAGGGCGCGGGTGGCCCGGCTCACAGGCGCAGGGGTCCGAGAAGTCGCCCTCGGCGTCTGACAGGCAGTGGTAGAGCAAGCTCTCGGCGCACCACAGGCAGCTGAGACGACGCTGCTTTGGCTGGCGCAGGGGCGGGGCCCGGGCCGGGAGGGGGGCGAGCCGGGGGCGCTGGGGGCGCTGCTTCGGTCAGAGGGACGGGTAGTGCCGCTGGGGGCCCTAGGGCTGGGGCCCCGTCAGGGCGCCGGTCTTGGCAAAGCGCACGACGCAGGTGGATAGAGCGAGCGGCGCGGGCGGCCCGGAGCGCCGGTAATCCTCGTAGCCGCGGCCGCCCCAGCTCGGGCCTCCTGCCCCTGCCAGGGGCTCTGAGGGCTCCGGAATCCCGGTGAACGGTAGAAGCGGAGGGTAGCTCTGCGTGAGGAAGAGACAAGGAGAGCAGGTTAGCCTGGTCTGTGACTCCTCCACTCCACCCCACCCCCACCAGTCTGTCCCAGGCTCGTTTTTTAAGAGCTAAGAATTTCGGGATCCTGTCGTCTAAACCCCTCCTGGATCTGGTGAAGACTCCCAGGACCCCAGCCTGCACAGCTTAGGGTTCCCAGTCCTGGACTCTCTGAAGAGCCAGGGGTCCCAGCTCCTAGCCCCTTCTACCTTCGGATGCAGTCTGGTCCCCAGCCACCTCCTCCAGTATGCGGAGTCTGGGCCCTGGGCCCCTTTTATTCCCTTGGGTCCCAAGGCCCTCCTTGTGAATTAAGCAGTCTGCAGGACCCTTCCATGGGCCCCAGCACCCTCTAATATACTCGAAGAATGACCCAAATCATCCCCTAACCCCTCTGACACGAGGAGCCCACATCCAGTCCTCCCAGAGCCCAGGCAGCCGAAGTCCCTCCTTTTCTCCTCCTTCCCCCTTTCTCAGGCACTATAGTCAGGTTCCCCATTCCCTGGGATCTGTACATCTGTCTGCTTCTCGCCCTCCTGGGCCTCACCTCCCACCCGCTTTGGGACCCCAGGACTAGGGCCCCATTCTACCCCAGCAGCTAGCTCCAGACTTCCACTGGGGGGCAGAGGTCGCACCTGAGCTGAGGAACGGCGGCGCTGGGGGGGTGTGGCCGGCCCGAAGCCAGAAGCGGACTCCATGGTGACGATGGGGGCCGCAGCGGTGGTAGGAGGTGTCTCCTGGCGGCTGTGACTGGAGGAGGAATCGCTGTCCACGTGGGACTGGGGGAGATTGTCGGGCTCAGCGCGCCCCCGCACAACCGATGCCCTCCCAGAGACCCCCTCCCATTGCCAGCGAGGGCTCTGCTGCCTGGCAGGCCCCAGGTGCAAGCCCCTGCTTTGCCACTGACTGGTTGTGTGAGCTCACCTTCTTGAGTCTCGGTTTCCTCTGTGAAATGGGGATGGTGATACCTTACCTACTCCTAAGAATCTGGTTAGGACCACTGGTGGCCGAGGTGCAGGAAGGCTGGCGGTGGTGCTGTTATTACTACACCCCTCTTCTGTGCTCAGCTCATGGAACATCACAATCGACTCCCTTCTCATGACCCCGCTCCCTTGGCCAGTCTGGCTCCTTGCTGCCTCATTCCCAACATGACACCTTCATCTGGGCAGTTCCACCTGCCCTCAGTCCTCTCTGGAACAGTTTCTTTCCTACCTCATCCACTCACTGCTTTCAACAGACATCCATTGAGCACCCACGGCACGCTCACAAAGGCCGTTGTGCAGATTGGAGCCGGCGCGTGGAAAGAACAACACCTTGCCCGAGGAAGGGATGGATAAGTGGGAGCTCTCTGTGGAAGTGCTGTGAGCCCCACCTCCATTTCCCATTACCCTGTGGGTTCCCCCCCTTTCTGCCCAGGGAACCAGATTTGATCCTCGAGGTGTTCTCAGCAACTCCCCTGTCTCCATCATGCGCCAGATTGCACCTGACACCATGCGTCGTTCAGCCCATCAATCTATCTAATACATAGGTACTGAACAGTGTACCAGGTACTGCTTTAAGCCTTGGAGATGCAGCAAGAAACCGAAAAAGACCCTTACCCTCCTGAAGCTGGCATCCTAGCATGAGGATGGAGAGTAAACTAATAAATTGGAAAACTATCTCTTCAAGAAGGAAATAAGGAAAATGTCTTAGAAGATGGTGAGAAAAACAACTGGATAAGGAGCATTGGGTGACGGGAGTTTTAAATAGGTTACTCGGTGAGGGCCTTACAAAGAAAGTGGTTGTGTGAACCCTGAAGGAGATAAGGGAATGAGTCCTGTGGAAATATGAGGGAAGAGTGTTCCAGACAGAAGGGACAAGCAGTGCCCAGTCCCTGAGACAGAAATAGTCATGTCTTGTTGGAGTAAGAGTGAGGAGGGCATTGTGGCAGGAGCAGAGTGACACAGGGCCAGATGGTGTGAGATCCTGCGTGTCACACGGTAAGGACTTTGTCCTTTACCCTGAGTGAGACAGTCCAGGGAGGATTCTGAGCAGAGAAGGGGGCGTGTCCAGACTCGGTCATAAATAAGGTCCCTTTGGTTGCTTGTGGGGAACAATCAGCAAGGGACAGGAGGGAGGGAACTGACCATGCGAAGCTGTGGAGGTGGGTCCGGGTTGGCAGATGAGGATGGAGAGTACCAGGTTCCAGGCAGATTCTGATGACTTTGAAAGTGGAACCAGTATTTGCTGACAGATTAGATGAGATGCATAAAATAATACAAGTGAAGGACGACGCCAGCGCTTGTAGCCCGGGGAACTGGAAGTGTGGAGTTGTCATTCATTTGTCTATCCATTTATTTCCATATTCATTGTTATACTTTGTTTTGTTTTGAACTTTCTATCTTTCCCCACTAGGATAGAAGCTCCATGAGGAAAGGGACTTTTATTCAATAGTGGCCATTACCTAAAACACCGCCTGGTACACAGAACGTGCTCAGCAAGTCCCCTCGGATGAATGTGTGAACTGATAGAACAGAAACACTAGAATAACTGAGAGTTTGGGCCCAGTTTCACATGCCCCGTGTGGTCCCTGCCACACAGCTGGTGCTCAAGAGCATTTGTAAGAAACCAACAAACGCCTGCCCTCCCAGCAGAGAGACAACCTGGGGACTCACCGTCAGAGGGCAGGGGGTCTCTGCAGTGTCCTGGGAAGGAGAGGAGGAGGACGAGGAGGAGGAGGGGGTGAGGGAGCCTGGGGCAGGGAGAGAGGCAGAGCGTGAGTTCCTAGCGCCTCCCAACCCTCCACCCCCAGCGTCCCCAGTGCCTGCCACCTGCACCACCCACCTCGACCCAGTGCGGCCAGCGCAGCCAGCAGGCTCTTTTGGAACTCATCAGCCTCCACAGGACTCTGAAACGTCAGCCCAAACTTGCAGTCACCCAGGCTCCAGTGGTGGAAGATGGGGTTCACCTTGTTGTAAACCAAGCCTGGCCTCAGGGTACATTCCAAGGTAGTCTGAGGGGGGCAGGAGAGACTGGTCAGATACCCCCACCCAGGCATGCCTGCACTGCCTCTCAAGCCCCGGCCCTTCTGCAATACTCCAGCATCCCACAAACCTTAGTTCCCAATTCTGGGTGTACCAATGAACTCCCCAGCATGACTCCCCAGTTACTGAGCACACCTCTGATACTCTAGTTAATTTCCTCTCACTCTCTGATTCCTACATTTTCCTGCTACCCCAGCAGAAATGCCAACTCATTCACCCCTTTGGGATAACCCAGCATCCCCTCTTCTGACATTAACAGTATTCCCCAAACCTCAGCAGACACCTCAAAACATAACTGTTAATCCCCTTTCTATGCCCCAATAATCTCCCAAAATCTCACCCCAAAATATTCTTATTAAACTTCTGCAGATGGCCAATACTCTGGGTGTCCCCTCGTATCCGTGCCTAACCTCAGTATATATTCTTTACACATTTTAGAGCCCCCCCAACACCATTCCTACTGCTCCCTGCTCTTGAAACACAATCTACCCCCAAAGCCTTTTCAAATAGTTCATATCTTTCTTTTATAATATATTCCCCACCTGAAAGTTCAACACTGTCCCTCCAAATTATGCCAGACAACTTATTCATTCCTACTGAATCCACATATAGAATCTGCCAGCTGTGTATGACGCTTCCAAATGGACCCCCATCAAATGCCTCCATATACTTAGGGCAGACAGGGGTCAGTTTGTGGAGGGCCTCGTGGTGAGGATCTCTGAGCAAGATGGAGCCACGGAAGGGTTCTGAGCAGAGGAGGGACATGGTCTGAGTCAAGTGTTAGCAGGGCCCCTGTAGAACAGACTGAGGTTGAAAGGAGAGGGAGCAGTAATGGGGTGGGGAGATGAGGAAGGAGGCTGATATGAAAGCCCAGTAGGGGATGGCCATGGACAGGGCCTGCCTAAGACCCCAGATAGCCCCAAAATTCCCAGCTGTTAGCCATAGGACAGATACTCACTACCAAACTCCATCCCACACCCCAGTTTGACTCCCAGGCTGGGAGACAAGCTGGGCTCTCTGCACTCCCAGTCCCATGCCCTTGCCTCCCCAGGGTCCCCCCTACCCCCACGCCCCAGGGTGGCTCACTTTCTGGTCCCGGAGGCGCTCCCCGTGGATGACGTAGTGCCCCTGGCGGGCCCCCCCCTCGGGCCTGGCCCCTCGGACCCGACATACGCTCACCTGGCTGAGGCCCCCGCCCCCCACCGGCAGCCAGGCCCCCCTGGACTCACTTCGGGGC